TCCTTCCTTCCTTCCAATTCTTTCTTTGATTCATGTTCTCTTCCTTCCTTCCTTCCTTCCTTCCTTCCTTTTCCTATATAAAAATTGGCCTTGTACCACATCCTGCCTTGTGGGAAGGTTTGGTAAATACTGAGCTAGCCGGTAGTGAGCCATATATCCTTACGACAGAATTCGGTAAGACTACGTTGACTCCAAGCCACATTATATTTCATGATTGCATTATCTTCATTCAATGGAATTAAGGCATAACATTGGCGATGAGAATTCGAGTGTACATGAAATTTTTTTTCTATCGCTTAACTCGTGAAGAAAATTCAAAATTCACAGAAAAGAATTTTGTGAAGTTCGTTTATATTTTATTTATAGGGCGACAGGGAAGTTGATAAATTCCGAGTATGTATCACATACTGCTCTTAGGAAAACAAAACTTTTTTCTTCCTAGTTAAGGGTTACTTGCATGAAAATAATACACTATGGAAGAATTGAAGATAATTATTCAGCAACTATTACATCAAATGCAGCGGGCACGGATGGAATATAGAGAACAGTTGAAGGCAATCCTGGAAAAGCAAGGAACAGGCAATGTGTTAATTTCATTTTCGCCCGACTCAGTCGCTAACTAAATTAGTGTATTCAATTACATCCCAGAAGAGAACATTACATTCCTATCGTACTTCAGAAGGCACGAGACCATTTTCATTGAGGAATGTCAAGGATGTTTCGATGAAAAGAAAGTACGTTTTCTGTTACGAAAATTGTGCCCTTCTGAATATGAAAAATACACCAGAAAAAGTGTCATTTAAAGAAACGGCTTCGATATAATAAAAATGTTTAGTGGGAAGAATTTTCTTTTTTATACACGTTAGCAGTGCATGAATCTTATTAAGAACAAAAATGAAGATTTTGTCACATATATCGGGAAAGTCTAAATGTAAGAAATTTAAACTGGACAAACTATCCCCAGACAGATTTAAATATCTAATCTTCGTTAAAGGTTTAACATTAAGCAACGATGCGGAAATACGTTCGCAAATCCTTACAAAACTTGAACAGGATTCAAAGTTAATGATACAGACTGTTGCGGAAGAGTACCAAAGAATATCAATTTAAGGCACGATACAGCGAAAATCAAACAAAATATGACGTCAGTAGTACAAGTAATTCCAAAAGATGACTGTAGTGCCAAAAGAAGAAATCCGAAATAAAAATACTGTCAAACTTAATCCATGTTATGGCTATCGTATGCTTCATTTCAGAAAACATTGTCCGTTTAAAAACAAAAAATGTTTTAAATGTGACAAACGAAGCTACTGCAAGTGGAAATGCAAAAGAAATACATAAATTAACTTACTGAAAGTATTGCTACCAGCTTAAAAGCTGGAAAATCAAAAAATAGAAAATTTGTGTCAGTAAAAATGAATAACAGTACGGTGAAATTTCAATTAGACACTGGTAGCGATATTACAGTTCAAACTCGGAACAGAATTGGCAAGCCTAACTTGGAAAAAAACCCGACAAAGTTGCAAGAAGAATATCAGGCAAAAGATTATTTTTCTTTGGAAAATTACGTGTAACATCGCTCTTGCGAGTAAAACTAAAAAAAAAGCAGATTTTTACTCGAATTTAAGTGTCGTTTAGATAGGATTACTTGAATTATGGAATCGGCCGATTAATTCATTCTGCGGAAAATTAATTGTTCATCAGAGAAAAAAAAAGGTTACTGAGTAAACTAAAAAAAAAAATAACGAATATTTTCTCAGGGGAGTTTGGGAAATGTACAAAGTAAAAGCATTTTTCAAATTAAAAGAAAATGTGATAACAGTTTTTAAGGTGCAAAGTAAGATAACCATTGCAGCATTGGAGTCTATTAACACCGAACTTGATCATTTAGAAAACCAGAGTCATTAAAAAAAAAAAAGATTATTCAGAATGGGCCACGAAAGAAAATAATAAAATTCTTTTATGTACAAATTTTTCGACTGGGTTGAATGGCTGCCTCCTCTCACATGTATATCTCCTATCAACTCCAGAGGATATACCTACCAAATTAAATGGTGGTAAATGGTTTTTCAAAACTTGTCTTATCTGGGGCATATCTTCAAATAAAAGTGAATGAGGAATACCAGAAGTAATTTACTATTAATACACATAAGGATTCTTAAGTTTAGAAAATTACACATCGGTGTAAAAGTATCCCCAGGTATTTTCCAGCGTTTCCCTCGGGGTTCTTGATAAGATTCAGAGGCGGATATGCAATATAACTGGCCCTGATCTGGCATCTTGTCTACAGTCACTTTCTCACACACGCGCCGTCGCCTCTCTCTGTCTTTTTTACAAATACTTTCATGGCAATTGCTCCGAGGAGCTGCATTCGCTGGTTCCCAGACGTCATGAATTCAAGCGCCTTACGAGGCTGGCATCCCGCTCTCACCCTTTCACTGTCGAAACTCCTAAATGTATCCGTCTCTTCTACTCCAATAGCTTCATGTCTCGCACCTCTCACCTGTGGAACTCCCTTCTCTATTCCAGTTTCCCTGAGAGCTATAATCTCCAACTATTCAAATGTAATGTCAATCAACATCTCCAGTTGCCTTGATCTATCCACTATCCTTCTCCTCATCCTTTCCTCTATCACTCCTATCTGATCTTGCTCCAAATTTTCTGTAACCCCTTGCGTTCTAGTGGCTTCCCGCCTTACTTGGGGTGAAACACTAAAAAAAAATGGGTACGTTTTTAGCTGGACTAGACGGTACTGGGACACTTCAATTTTGTGTAATGTTTAGCAAGATTGTCTCGCTAGATCAATTAAGACTGAGTAGTGAGTTCGATCCTCACTGGATACTCCATACTTTCGGTAGTGGTGGTATGATCGGCTATGACTAGCTTAGACATGCTATGACCAGCTTAGACCAACTTAGACATGCTATGACCAGCTTAGATCAACTTAGACATGCTATGACCAGCTTAGACTATCTTAGACATGCTATGACCAGCTTAGACTATCTTAGACATGTTATGACCAGCTTAGACTATCTTAGACATGTTATGACCAGCTTAGATATCTTAGACATGCTATGACCAGCTTAGACTATCTTAGACATGTTATGAC